TATCGATAAGTGTACGAACATTCCGCCGACGTTGAAAGATTAGTCTTTCAAGGATCACATAGAATAGCAAGTTTTTGAACTGGACGACGAACGATCCCCTTTTTTGTCTGGATATCGGCAACACGAACTTTACCATCCTTGCCCTGGATGGTTTTTGTTACGCGACCTGTCACCCATACCATTGGTGGCATGTTTTCTTCATGAATCAAAACAAGCGTCCCAGTCTGTAAATTATTGCTAACCTTAGTCCATCGATTGCGCTGAATCAGTTCGTTGAGATACTCGTTTGACCACCTGCTCCAAAATTGTTGTTTCACTGCACTAATGCGCCGCCATCGTTCGAGGTATGACACTTCTACATTTTGATTAATGTTTGGTTCACTGATGCAGTTCATGGGACACCCAATCAAAAAATGACCTGGTGTCAAAGCTTCGAGGTCATTCGCATCCCACGACACAGGTGAAATCGGTCTGGAATTCAAGATTGCTTCGATTTCTACGAGAACGGTAGTGAGCTCTTCATATGTTAACTTGCTGTTCACCAGCGTACGATACATGTGCCCCTTTGCAGACTTCACGGCGGCCTCCCAGATACCTCCAAAATGTGGTGCTCTAGGTGGAATAAAGTTAAAGGATATTGATTTATTTGAACAGAAATTAATGACATGATTTTTATACGCTTCACTAGTAAAGCTTCGTTTAAGTTTAACCAGTTTTGTATTGGCTCCTACAAAATTCGTAGCGTTATCACAATAAATTTCTGCAGGTAGTCCTTTGCGACCAATGAATCTTTTTAGCGCTGCAATAAATGCATTTGATGACAGATCTGTTACTGCTTCAATATGAACGGCTTTAGTTGTGAAACACACGAAAATTGCTATATAACATTTATAGGGCTGTTTTCCTCGAATTTTCAAATAAGTAGAAATAGGCCCACAGAAGTCAATTCCGCATTTTTCAAATGGTTTGCCTGGCGTCACACGGGACGCAGGCAAATCTCCCATTATCTGGCTTAACAGTTTTGGTTTATAACGTATGCAGCTGATACAATTATGTACGATCTTCCTAGTTAATCCTCTGGCATTGACGATCCAATATCGTTGTAAAATTGCAATTAACGCCTTAGACCCGGCATGATAATTTTCAATATGATGATGTCTAGCCAAAGTCTCAACGAAATGACAATGTCTTGGTAATAAAAAAGGGTGTTTTCTTTCTTCTGAAATACTCGCATGCATAAGGCGTCCACCAACACGAAGCAATGGAAATCCATCCACCTCTTGAATAAAGGGACTAAGAGTTTTCAACGAAGTCTTAATTTCCACGTTGTTGTTTATACAATGAATTTCATTAGAGAAATGTTCGCTTTGAATGATCCAGATGATGCAATGTAAAGAATGTCGTAACTCATCACTAGTGAAATTATGTTGATGATCAGGAACCCTTTGTTTAACTCGGTTACGCACACGAAGTAACCAACCAATAACACGAAGTACTTTAAGATATGAGCTGGTCCGATCTATGAATTGTAGCACTTGATTTGTGGGTGTTTCACATATTATAACTATTTTCCGAATTGCACCATCTACTTCTCGTTTGCATTGAGTGTTACTTATACATGAATCTGGCCATTCCTCATACTCTTGATTTAGAAATGCTGGCCCTGATAACCAGTTGGATTTCAATAATTCGATAGTTGAACATCCTCGTGATATTACGTCAGCGGGGTTAATTGACGTCGGAACATGTCTCCAAGAACAAGTTGCAGTAAGTTCTTGTACTTCAGAAATTCGATTTCCCACGAACGTTGTTAATGTGGAGGAATGGTGTTGCAACCAGTGTAATACGACAGTCGAATCTGTCCATAGAAATGTTTGGAAATGTATATTGCTAAATATCGGCGCAATTTTGCTATATAGTTGAGCTAGTATAAGCGCTCCACAAAGTTCTAATTGAGGTAGAGTTCTTTTCTTTACCGGAGCCACCCGACTTCGTGCCGTTAATAAATTTACTGAAATATGTCCTTGTTGATTACAAACCCGCACATAAAAACAGCATCCATATGCTCGAATTGAAGCATCACAAAATCCATGTAGTTGCATGTTGATGATATCTGTTTGTAATACATATCGAGGTATTTTAATCGATTTCAAATTATTTAGGTCGTTGATGAAATTTTCGAATTTAATTCCAATTTGTTGCGGAACTACTGTATCCCAGTCTATCTTCATAATCCATAAATCTTGCAATAACACTCGTGACTTAATAATTATGGGAGCAATCAATCCCATCGGATCGAAGATAGACGACGAGATCGACAAAATTGAGCGTTTGGTTAACGACGTGTATGTCTTGCTCGGAGTATACGAAAATAAAAACTGGTCCTGATTTGAATCCCATTTTATGCCAAGCGTACTTGTAATTGCTGGTTCATGTAAATTTAAGTCTTTTAATTCATTATTATTGGTGATGAACGATTGACTGTATTTTTGCAATTTCGATACCAGCCTTTTTTAATATTGACGTAACTTCGTATTCTGTTATTTGTAGTTCATGGAAGTCATCAGCTCCCGTTAACATATCGTCCACGTAGAAATGGTTTTTTAGCACATGTGAACCCACTGGATATTCGGTTTCCCATTTTTCCGCGATATATTGAAGACTCCTTATCGCTAAGAAAGGTGATGCGGATAAACCGTAGGTTACTGTATTCAACTGAAACACGCGAATCGGATTATCTTCAGTCTCTCGCCATAAAATTTGCTGATACGAACGACAGTCAGGATGTATTCGAATCATTCTGTACATTTTTGTTATATCTCCACTTAATGCGAATCTTTTCAATCGAAAACGCATAACATGCAAATATAATTCCGATTGTATAGTTGGTCCTGTCAGAAGAATATCGTTTAATGATTTTTGACTCGTTGTACTTGATGATGCATCAAACACCACTCGTAATTTCGTGGTTGTGCTACTTGGTTTGAGTACGTAATGGTGAGGTATAAAATAATGAGGCTGTTTCAAATTTACGTTTTGCACTTCTGTCATATGATTTAACTGCTCATACTCTTTCATAAAGTTGGTATATTGATACTTTAAATCACAATTGTGGGATAAACGTCTTTCCAACGAATGAAAACGCTTTAATGCTACATTGTACGAGTCTCCGAGTAATAAAGGCGATTCTTTAAACGGTAATTGAACCTCAATTCTACCATCTGGTAAAGTAGTAGTAGTTTTTACAAATGCATCTTCACATAGTTGCTCTTCTTCGTTCCACTTCTTACGTATACTGGCTGTGTCTTGTAATAACCACAGATACTCTAAGTTTTTATTGATTGATTCGATATCAGTGTCCACTTTGGTTATATGATATGACTTATTAATAACTTGTTTCGAAGAATTATACCGTCCTGACACTATCCAACCTAAAACTGTTTCTTGTAACATTGGTAAATTACGGCCCAACCTTAATTGCCCACTGCGTAACATTTCGAAGAAGCAATCAGCTCCTATTAACATGTCAATGGATTGGGAATTATGAAAGTGCTCGTCAGCTAAATTGATTTTCGACGGTAATTGCCAAGAGCGAATATCTAATGCTGAGTCAGGCTGATACCCAGACAGGCGATTTGAAATGAGAAAGTTCAAATCAAATTCTGAATCATTAAATCGCGATCGAATTGTCGTTTGAGTCTCGTACTTTAATTTCGAGGACATACACCCAACACCGACAACTTCTACTGATGTCTTTTTCTTCTGTAAGTTCAGCATATTAACGAAGGATTCAGTCATTAAGTTCACCTGTGAACATGAATCTAACAATGCTCTTCCTACTTTAAATGCACCCACCGAGTCCCTTACCAGAATAATTGCTGTTGCCAAAATTACCTTGTGTGCTACAGTTTTAATATGTGCATTGATTGATGCTGATTCAACTCTATTGGATGTTGAAGGCATCATGTTTTGTCTACAGATATCTGAGCGATGTAAAAGTGTGTGATGTAGTTTGTTGCATATTTTGCAGGAATGTTTTGATGGACATTTAGCCACGATGTGTCCTTCTGATAAACAGTTTATACAAATACCCAATTTTTTAACAGTGTCAAATCTTCGCGACACATCCATTTCATTAAATCGTTTGCAACCACTTAGCCAATGGTCCCCGCTCTTACATGATACACAATTTTTATCTCGGATGCGTGTATGAAACGACGAACGGTTATTTTGGAGGGTAACGTAACCTTTTTGCTTTGGTTTTGTATTCTCTATTGTATCCGGGCTAACTGACTCTAAAAATTGACACCTTCTTTCCAAATGTTGAGAAAATTCAATCCACGTAGGTAACACTGATAAATCTAATTTTTCCTTCCATTGTCTTTGCGTTTCAGAATCGGACTTATTCAATATTAAATGAATCAACATTCCATCACATATGTCTTTGTCGTCTCCAAGTGATTTGAGAGAACTGAATATAGCTGATGCGCTATCAACTAAACTGCGCAAAATAATTGATGACGCTTTGCGTACGTCTGGCAAACTATATAGATCTATAATATGTTCCATAAATATTAAAGTTTTATTATCATACCGTTCTTTTAATCTGTTCAGAGCCTTTTCGTAATTTTCTGTCGTAACCTGAAAAGAACGAATGGTATCAAGTGCTTGTCCTTCAAGACATTGAATCAAGTGGTTAAACTTTTCTATGTTTGAGAGTGACTTGTCTTCGTTAACTAATTGCTTGAAAGATGATATAAAGTTTTGATACTCTGCGTATTTTCCTGTAAATTTTGGCAATTTGAGTTTTGGTAAATTGTTCGAGCTTCTGCTTGGAATGTGTAACGCTAACTCTCCACGACTTCGATTAAAGTCGTCACCTAAAAGTTCAATAGCCTTTGCTTTCGCTAAAATGCAAAGTTCTTCTATTTCTGCACGAGCGTTATCTTTGTCGTTCAACGCTTCAATATCCGATTGTATTGCTAACAACTGTTTGAAATAAGCTTCGATTAAGCTTAACCTGCATTCTAATTCCGCATGTGACATCTCACATGATAACAAATTCTTTATCCTAGTAACATTGGTCTTTATCACCTTACGTTTGATGACTAGTGCACTCAATTCAGCCATATCTACAACTTTGAACGTAGTTATTAATAAACTCGAAGCTGGTTAAATGTCAATTTATTAAATTTGTATCTTATATATGTGATAAAATACAAACCAAATCCAACGTTTAGAGATCAACGAAAAAATTTTACTTTGCAGCCAACGAACCTGGTACTGCACACAAAAATATGACACGACAACCCGTCAACTTCGAGCCCCACGTTGGGCGCCAAAAAATGTATGTTTATTTTAGAATTTATTTACAATTTCCACAAAAACATGTATGTTTATTTTAGAATTTATTTACAATTTTCTATTTGTTATTTAATACTTCTATTTTTCGTATAATTGAACTTCAATGATGCTTCTACGTGCGGCGGCCACAAAAACACGATCGAGAGAGAGCAAAAAAACAAAAACGGAAAAGGAGACTAACCAAACGAAGCAATAACAACATCATTCCATGCCTTCAACTGTCAAAGCAGATAAAGGCTTGGATTTAATCTTATGACTTGCTCATTTGGTTCAGCCTTTATCGATAAGTGTACGAACATGTGAAATAAATCCACATAACAGACTTGGTGTATCCATCTAAAAGGAGACTATATTGAAGTATAAAACATAATTTTCCAAAGAAATGCGTTTTTATCACTTACGCCACTTAGTACTTAACATAAGGTTCACATGTATTTCAAATATGATGAGTGTAAGTTTTGCTACAAAACAAGTAGCGTTGCCGAGCGTTGGAATAAAGTAAAAATTTTCACTTGTACACTACAATGGTTTGGTGAAAATATTGCCAGAGAACAGTGCCGTAAAGTCGATTTGGAAATATTTGGTTCTGATCTGTTATAATGGCCGTGTTTGATCCTTATGGGTTTATTGCCGACTTCTTTTACAGTCGAAACTTCTTATGCAATGAGTATTGAAATGTCAAGTAGCATGAGATGAGCCTATACCTGAGCCAATTTTTTGGCGAGCTTAGTGGTCAGAGTTGAAAAGCTGAAACATGTTAAAATTGACAGGGACGATTCAAAAAATATTGTCTTAGCTTCAAGGATTGAATTACATTTCATGGTTGATGCGAATGAGACAGCATTTGCTGCAGTTGCCTATTTACGAATTATAAACCGCAAAGATTTAATATCTTTATATCAAAGGAAAGCTTTATATCAGGAAAAACAAGAACTGCGCCGAAACGTCTTCTGTCAATCCCACAACTTAAACTACAAGCTGCTGTGCTTGTAGTATACGCATCAGCAAAACCATTTTAAAAGAGCACAATAGTCACATCTCAAAAGCCGTACTATACTGCATTGCATTGCTTCAGAAAGGAAATATAAACCGTTCGTAGGACATCCCATTGCAGAAATAATTGCCTGTAGCCAACCAGAGCAGTGGTGTTGGGTGCCATCTAACGAAAACACTGGCGACGTAGCAACCAGATTGTGGATCACATTTAAGCCAAATGGCCGAGGGTTGTGTGGCCTTGAATTTTTCAAAAAACATGAATCCGAATGGCCGAATGGCCGCTCGGTCTTGATGCCACACGGTCATATCGTCACAGAATTAATTGTACACCATTTTCATGAATATTTCCATCACCAAAATATAGCTGTGGCTATTAATGAAATTCGATAACGTTTTTGGGTGTCACGTATCAAAAGGTCATAGAAAACGTTCAAAGAAATGTTCAACCTACCAAATTGAGGGAGCCAATCTATTACCGCCAATGATGGGCCAATCACCTGAAGATCACGTCACACCATTTATACACCCATTCAAATATACTAGTGTGGACCTGTTTGGTCCTGTTAGTGTCGTCATTGATCGCCAACAAGAAAAAAGATGGGTTGCAATTTTTACCTGTGTTTCCGCAAGAGCTGCCTACTTGGAGATTGTTGAAAACCTGTCAACGAACGCCTTCATTTTTAGCTTGCGAAATTTTGTCAACAGGCGTGGTATTCCAGTTCGTATTCGATGTGAGAATGATATCAACTTTATAGGGGCGCAGAAAGAACTACAAGCAAACGAGAAAATCTTAGACACCGATCGCATCTCACAGGAGCGTTCCAACAACTACATCGAGGGTATTTTCAATCGCACTGCCAACCCAAGCACTGGTGGTTGCTGGAAACGTTTAAATCGTTTCGTAAAGCGCCTGTTAAGCCACGGTTTGAAGAATGCCATACCAAGAATTGAGACACTTGGAAGTGTACTCAACGAAGCCGAAAATGTCATTAACTCTCGCCAGCTTACTGACGTACCTATTACGGCTGAGGACGCCGAACCGGTCACACTAAATCACTTTTCTTATAGGATGCACCAACTTCCCTCAGAAGCCGCAGCCGTACGATGAAAAAATGTGTTTAAACAAACAGAGGCCAATCGCACAAAACTTGAAACACCGCATGTGGAAATAATGGGTTTTACAATGTCTGCCACAACTTTGGCATCGCCTGAAATGGTACTCCAAAGCACCTTTACTACAAGTTGATGACCTAGTCATATTTTGTGATCCAGCCCTGCTGCGAAGCCAATGACAAAAAGGACGCATAACGCAGGTGTTCCCAGTCAAGGATGGTCAAGTCCGTATTGCAGAAGTAAAAACTGCAGCAGGTCTAGAGGAAGATGAAGTTGCCTACATTGAACACCTATTTGCACTCACTAAAATTATCTGCAGTGAATAAGCCCACAAGCTGTCATGAGTGATGACGTCAGTTTTTTGCCGAAAGCCAACGAGAAAACATGCGGTATACAGCCGTAGAACAATGCAGGTTTTAGATACGGGTTTATAAACGGGTTTTATATACAGTTCATACATGTAATAATATGGATTTTATATACGGTTGTATATATGAACCAAGTAATTTATATATTCATGCCTCAATAAAGAAATTTAAAACTTAACAATAATGTCAATGTCCAAAATAATGTAAAGTATTTCTTATCCACTACTATGTTCTTTTCACAGCTTTAACGATGCTATAATCATCCATGAGTCGTAAATTATGCTGTGCAACAGTGACAGACTTACCAGAATGTAGTTTAAGGTGATTACATTGTTATTAAATGCAACATCACGATTCCTGTTAAATTTTAAAAATTATATATTACAATTTAAGGCTTCATTTCAAGCAGAAGGGTTGGGGACTCCGCTTATATAAGGATGCCCAAAAATATTGAAGTATCTTTCAAATTTCATCACCATAATAACTCAAAGCACAAAGCAAATATTGTTAGGATGTGGGATGCTAGAAACTCCAGAAAAATTGTATATATTCTTACCCAAACTTTAAAATTAAGTCTTTTCTAAAAAAAAATTATTAATTTGTAAAAAAGTTGGTTAAGATCAATGAAAAATCCAGAGATCACTTAAAACTTAAATACTGCAAAAGTTGAATTTGATACCAACCAATAATGAACTGCAAAAATTCGTAAATTCCATAAAAAGAGGCTGTAATATAACAAAGAAACTACAAAGGGCTACATTAAATACTTAAAACATTATACGACAATGTTTCCATTGAATAAAATTTATAATAGAGAACTTTATATTATTTGTGTGAACACATACTTGACAGTCTAAAAATAATGTAGAGTTTATTTTTGTTGTAGATTTCGTTTATTTTACAACAAACTACTGAATTATTTTTATATTTACATTCTTAATATAATAATTATTAAATATCGATTATCAAGTCATTTTATTTAAACATTCGCAGTGTTTTTGAGACTATAAGTTAGAAAAGTGAATTTTATTTAACTGTGTAAATTCATTCTTGACATACTGTATATTTTTACGCAAACATTACAATAAAATTTAATTCTTAAAAATTTTAATATTATTAAAAGAATTGTAAAAAGTATTGAAAGAAACGTTGATAAATAGCTTATTTTGTACTGATCTCTAATATTAAAACACTAAAAGCCTAATTTATAATTAAAACTTTATAAAATGCTTTATTTTATCAAATATTTTAGTTGTATTGCATTGAACCATTTATACAGATTCAATTTTCGTACTACAATCAAAAAGTAAATGCAACGAGACTGGATAATTTTACAGTTTGTAGAAATATTAAGTTATATAATAATAAAGATTTTGATATATTATAACTTCAATACACATACTCACACACAAAAGCTTTCGCGTATTAATTTCATCTGCCACTACTCGCATTGTGCTATAACTAAATTTCAGTAATCATCATACATTGTGACCGAAAAGTTTCCGGAAATTTTAAATAAAAACGCAAAATTCTTAATCTTCATCAATATTTATTTTATCTCCTTCAAAATATGCTCCATTAGAAGCGATACACAAATGCCAACGTTTCTTCCAATCATCAAAACATTTTTTATAGGCGCTTTCCGGTATGGCTTTGAGTTCCCTCTGCGAATTCTGTTTTACGTCTTATATGGATTCAAAACGCGTTCCTCTGAGTGGTAATTTGAGTTTGGGAAACAGGAAAAAGTCACACGGTGCAAGATCAGGTGAATACGGTGGCTGTTCGATGGTATTTATTGAATTTTTGGCCTTAAAATCGTTGATAATGTTGGCTCGGTGCGAGG